GAAATAGAATGCATAAAGATTGATATCCTAGGCATTAGTGAGTTGAAATGGACTGGTTTTGACCATTTTGAATCAGACAACCATATGATCTACTATGCCAGGAATGACAAATAGAAGAGGAATGGCTTCATCACAAAAGATGTTTCAAGATCTGTCCTGAAGTACAATGATGTCAGTGATAGGATAATATCCATATGCCTACAGGGAAGACCAGTTGATACTACTACTATTCAAATTTACACACCAACCACCAAAGCCAAAGATGAGGACATTGAAGATTTTATCAACTTATGCAGTCTGAAACTGACTGAATATGCAATGAAGATGTGTTGATTATTACTGGTGATTGGAATGCAAAAGTTGGAAACAAAGAGGAATCACCAATAGTTGGAAAATCTGGTCTTGGTGACAGAAATAACGCTGGAGATCATACAGAATTTTGCAAGAACAGTTATTTATTCATTGCAAATACCTTTTTTCAACAATACAAATGTTGGCTATACACATGGACTTTGCCAGATGGAGTACACAGGAATCAGATTGACTACATCTGTAGCAGGAGGTGATGGAAAAGCTCAGTATCTTCAGCCAAAACAAGGCCAGGAGCTGATTGTGAAATAGACCATCAACTGCTCCTATGCAAGTTGAAGTTGAAGACAATTAAAACAAGTCCTCGAGAGCCAAAGTATGACTTGAATGTATCCCTCCTGAATTTAGAGACCATCTAAAGAATAGATTTGTTGCATTGAACACCAGTGAGCGAAAACCAGAAGAACTGTGGGATGACATCAAGAACATCATCCATGAAGAAAGCAAGAGGTCATTAAAAAACAAGAAAGACCAAAAGAGACTCTGAAACTTGCCCTTGAGTGAAGAGTAGCTAAAACAAGTGGAAGGAATGACAAAATGAAAGAGCTGAACAGAAAATTTCAAAGAGCAGCTCGAAAAGACAGAGCCAATTACTATAATGACATGTGCAAAGATCTGGAGTTAGAAAACAAAAAAGGAAGAACATGCTTAGTGTTCTTAAGCTAAAAGAACTGAGGAAAGAATTTAAGCCCCAAGTTGCAATATTGAAAGATTCTGTGAGCAAAATATTGAATGATGCAGAAAGCATCAAAAGAAGATGGAAGGAATACAGAGTCACTGTACCAAAAATAATTGGTCGATGTTCATCCATTTCAGGAGGTGGCATATGATCGAGAACTAATGGTATTGAAAGAAGAAGTCGAAGCTTCACTGAAGGAATTGTTGAAGAATAAGGCTCCAGGGATTGACAGAATACCATTGAGATGTTTCAACAAACGGATGCCCCACTGAAGACACTCACTCGGTTATTTCAAGAAATTTGTAAGACAGCTAGCTGGCCAACTGACTGGAAGACATCCATATTTGTACCCATTCCAAAGAAAGGTGATTTCACAGAATGTGCAAATGATCGAACAGTGTCATTCATATTGAATGCAAGTAAAATTTTACTGAAGATCATTCAAAAACAGTTTCAGCAGTATATTGACAGAGAACTTATAGAAATGCAAGCTGGATTCAGAAGAGGACGTGGAATGAGGGATATCATTGCTGTTGTCGGATGGATCTTGGCTCTAAGCAAAGAATACCAAAAATATGTTTACTTGTGTTTTATTGATTATGCAAAAGCACTTGATTGTGTAGATCATAACAAATTGTGGATACCTTTGAGAATTCAGAACACTTAATTTTATTCATGGGGAACCTGTACACAGATCAGGAGGCTGTCGTTCGAACGGAAAAAGGGAACACTACATGGTTTTGAGTCAAGAAGTGAGTGTGTCGGGATTGTATCCTTTCTCCATACTTATTCGGTCTGTATGCTGAGCACATAATCTGACAAGCTAGACTGTATGAAGAAGAACGTGACATCAGGATTGGAGAAAGAATCATTAACAGCCTCTGATACCCTGAGGACACAACTTTGCTTGCTGAAAGGGAGGATGACTTGAAGCAACTACTGATGAAGATTGAAGGATACAGTCTGCAGTATGGATTACATCTCAGTATAAAGAGAACAAAAATCCTCACAACTGGACCTATAAGCAGCATCACGATAAATGGAGAAAACATTGAAATTGTCAGACTTGACATTGCTTGGTTCTACAATCAAAGCCAATGGAAGCAGCAGTCAGAACATCAGATGACGTATAGCACTGGGCAAATCAGCTGCAAACGACCTCTTTCAGGTGCTGAAGAGCAAAGGTGTCTCCTTCAGGGCTAAGCTGTGCCTGACATAAACTATGGTATTTTCAATTGCCTCATATGCCTGTGAGAGCTGCACGATGAATAAGGAAGATCAAAGAAGAATTGATGCATTTGAGCTGTGGTGTTGGCGAAAAATGCTGAAAGTACTGTGGACTGATTAAAAAAACTAATAGTCTCTGTCCTGGAGGAAGTGCAGCTGGAATGCTTCTTCCGGAGGCGAGAATGGCCAGACTTCGTCTCACATACTTTGGTCATGTTGTCAGAAGGGACCATTCCCTGGAGAAGGATCTCATGCTTGGTAAGGTGGAGTGTTAATGGAAGAGAAGGCCCTCAACGAGATGGATTGGTGCAGTGGCAATGGGCTCAAGTTTAGCAAGGATCTTGGAGCTGGCACAGGATCGGGCGGTATTTCTTTCTGCTGTGCATAGGGTCGCTATGAGTTGGCGACAACTCGACGGCACCTAACAACAACAGAAGTGCCTCAGAAGATGGGCCTGGTAGTCTACTTCTGAAAGATCAGCCGTTGAAAACCCTACGGAGTGCAGTTCTGCTCTGATGCACGTGGGGTTGCTGTGAGTTAGAATTGACTCACCAACAGCGGGTCCTGGTACGATACAGCTTTCCTGTGCTTTTTAGTAGATTAGTGTCTTGGCACATAGCAGTGAAACCTTATCTAGAGACACTAATTTTTTTTTTTTAATTTTTTGTTGTAATTTGGGAGAAAGTTTACAGAGCTAATTCAAATACAGCAGTTCATGCACATTTTGTTTTCATGACATAGACTGCAATCTCCACAGTGTAAAACTCTCTTCCCACTTCCTCTTTGTAGTTAGCTCTTCCCTGGGTCCTTCTTTGCTGCGCATTCCTACCCTCTGAGCTGTTTCCCTGAGCAAATACTGCCTTCCTGGTCTCCCATCATTGGTTGTTCCAAGAAGTTTACCTACTTGGTGTATGTACACCCTATACACCTGTCTCATTTGGCCGGAAACCATGGGAATGAATTCAATTCCAGGCCCAAAGGGTAACTGGGTGCCATAGGCTGAGGTTTTTCATCAGTCCCTATCAGACCAGTGAGACTGGTCTTCTCTGATTTTGTGTTTTGTTCCACATTTTTTCCTGCTCTGTGCAGGTGTGGAGCCTAATTTTTGTAACTCCTGCATTGCTGATATTTTCACTCGAATGTTAAAATTCAGTAATGTTTCTAAGTTAAATCCCTTTGAGAATTTATGGCTTTAAGGCTTAAATTTTGAGTTTTTATTCCTTGCCTTGTAGTTTGTCTTCACATACCCAGATAGGTATCATCATGGCGACAGAACTTTAACGGGCTCTGCTTTAACGGGTCGTTTCCACACGAGACGGAGGCTCTGAAAAGCTTCTGAGCATGTTCAGCTCTGCTGCTTTCCCAGTAAAATGCTTTTCTAGAGCCACAGTGGCGATTCCCCCTCCAGCACCACTGGCACCATGCAGAGGCATTGTATACTTTTCTGAAAAGTATGTATTCGTGCCTGTTAGGACTACCTGCCTCACCCATTAACTTCACACACCTTGTGCACACTTGGATAAAGAACCTAGAGTTAGTTTGTTCTTCAGTATGTATAGACTGAACGTCCAGGCACATGGATGTTGTTTGAGAGAGCAGTAAGCAAAAAACAAGCAGACACACACAAATAGCTCCCCCTGGCCCTTTGGACTGATCATAACAAGTTAATAAGGTCTCTCGTCTGGTAGACGGCAGTAGGAACTGCCGGAAGGGGTAGAGCGTGACCAAGGTTAGTGTATTTGGGGTCAGAGAGGCAAGCTGCCATTTGAAATAAGGTGCTCAAGGAGCTCGGTTGTGCATAGACGGGAAGGGGCTGTGGAGATGTCTAGGTATGGAGGTTCCCAGGTGGTGGGGGCACCCGTGCCAGGCCCAAACACAGGAGCTGGAGGACAAAAGCCGGGGTGCATGGAGACTTGGGACCGTCCGCCAGGTGGGTGACTGAGAAGATTTGTTTAGAGTCTAAGGTATTTTTTAAAGGGGACTTTACAGATTATCTTTGGCTTAGCAGCCGAATGCTTTAAGCACAGAGCCAGCAGAGCTGTAGGAACATGGGCAAGTACAGTGGAAGCTGCCCTACAGGTGCTTTTGGTCTAACTGGGCACATGGGATAGATGTCAGAAAGCCAGGACATGTCTGTTTCATAACAGATACTTACTGGATTCACCCAAAAGCTCAAAACCAAGCCCACTGCCATCACGTTGTTTCCAACTCATAGCTACCCTTTCGGGCAGAGTAAGACTGCTCCGTAGGGTTTCCAAGGCTATAAATCTTTTCAGAAACAGACTACCACATCTTTCTCCCAAAGACAGGCTAGTGGGATTGAACTACTAATCTTCTGCTTAGCAGCTGAGTGCTTTACCACTGCACCACCAGGGCTTCTCCCTGTTCACAGCAGGAGAGAAGTCGACTCATACAGACACAGTGCTGCATGAGCATTCATTCATTCCACACAGTTTCACTGAGAACCTAGCAAATGGAGATCCTGTTGAAGGAAAGTCTAGTTTCTTTGGGGTCATAAAAGCAGCTTATCTCAGAGGAGCTGAGGAAAGATGGTTTGGAATCAGGGGGATGCATTGAATGGGCTTGGATTTTAGTCGAAATTCCTACTACCCACAGCTGTTTTTCCTGTTCAGAACTCGGAGCTGTCGGCAAGTGGCCACTGTGTTTGGCGTTTCTGGCAGTTGATTCCATCTGCTTCACAACACTTTGCTGTTGTTTTTTGCAGCAAACCAAAGAGCGAGTGAAGCTCCTGATCCAGCTGGCTGACGGCTTTTGTGAAAAGGGCCATGCCCACGCGGCAGAGATAAAAAAATGTGTCACCGCCGTGGATAAGAGGTACAGAGACTTCTCTCTGCGGATGGAGAAGTACAGGACCTCTTTGGAGAAAGCCCTGGGGATTTCTTCGGATTCCAACAAATCGGTAAATGGCCACGTACAGAAGGAGTAAATCCTGGCGTGTTGGTTAACGTCCTGGGTGTTGGGTCAATTGTCTGAGTTCCTTGTCGCTTTCCTTCCACAGAGTAAAAGTCTTCAGCTGGATATCATCCCAGCCAGCACCCCTGGGTCAGAGGTGAAGCTCCGGGATGCGGCTCATGAGCTTAATGAGGAGAAGCGGAAGTCAGCACGCAGGAAAGAGTAAGCCGGGCTTGAAAACAACCAGTGTTCGTTAGAGTGAAGATAATGTTGTCATTTGGGGATCGTGTGCTTTGGAGTCAAACGGCGTTACTATTGTAGTTATTTCGAATACACTTAATTTTTGTATCATGGAAGTCACTCTTCACTGTCCCCTTGTCACCTGGTCCAGAAACAGTGCCTTGTGTTATCCCATGCCCCCACTTCCTGTGGGGTTGAAAAACTGCTTTGATGCCATTTGTCATTAATAGGGCATGAGCAGTGACACTAAGGAGCAGACATTAAGGATGCACACGTAGGTATTTTAGAGAGGCCAGTTATTAAGCTCTGTTAGCTTTCAGTAAAGGCAACAGGTGGTTTAAAGCAGCAGTTCTCAACTGGGGCTGATTTTGGCCCTCAGAGGATCTTTGACAGTGTGTGGAGGCATTTAATTGTCACGATTGGGAGTGCTTCGGACTCCAAGTGGGTGGAGACCGAGGATGCTGGTAAATGCCCTGCGATGCGCAGGACAGACCTCCGCCCCCGACAGGAAGCTCGACGGCCCGGAGCATTGGTGGTGCTGAGGTTGCGACACCACAGATGCCTTAGTGAGATTTTATCCAAAATCATTTTGATTCCCTTCAACTGGTAACTGGCACCATTGTTGTTCTGTTGAGTCTTGTGTTGGTTCTCTAACACCCACTGCTATTGCTTTGATTATTTCAAGGGAGCTCTGGTGGCGTAGTGCCTAAGGCATTTGACTGCTAACCAGAAGGCTGGCAGTTCAAACTCACCAGTGACTCCTCAAAAGGAAGATTGGGCAATCTATTTCCATAGGAATACCTACCTCAGAAACCCAAGGAGGGGTTGCTATGAGTTTGTGGTTTATTGTTTCTTTTTTTTTTTTTTTGGTTTTATTGTTTCATAAAGTAAATGTTAAAATAAGCATGGACCCTGGCTGCTGACTAAGTCCCTCACTGTCTTTCCTGTTTCAGGTTCATTATGGCTGAGCTAATTCAGACTGAAAAGGCTTACGTACGAGATCTTCGGGAGTGTATGGATGTAAGTAAGTTGTTTTGTTTGTTTTCGTTTCTGGCCGGTTTGTATAGATGAAGTATAATCTTGTGAATTTCATGTTTCCCTGCTGGTCACTCCTGGTGTTCACATTTTGTGGCTTTTCTGTTGGGATTGGAAGCCCACCTTGGCCGGCTCATCCCCCTGCATTTCTGTGAAGTTCTCGGCTGCAGAGATGATGCAGCACGAACCCCCTCGTCCCGTTGATCCCGTGACGACCAAGCTGACATGCTTTGTGTGTGGAATTTTATAGTCGCTTCAGAGAAATGTGCTGACCTGTGATGATTGCAAATAATACCCAGCAGCTTAATGCACACTGGGACCTCGGGAGATGTTAGCCCCCAAGTTTGAAGCTGTGGCTAAGTTACAAAGTATACCCACAAACAAAAGTACAGCCACTTTCCTCAAGTAGCAATAACAACGGGGGCACTTTAGAAAAGTCCTTCAGGTTGTGTTGTAGAAGGCGCCCTCCTGGGTGTGTTTTCATGTGTGTGTGAACCCCGAGTGTGGATGTCCAGATGGGAGCCTTCGGGGCCGACTTCCGTCTGATGCCTGTGTTCCCCCCGCAGACCTACCTGTGGGAGATGACGAGCGGCGTGGAGGAGATCCCACCCGGCATCGTCAACAAGGAGCTCATCATCTTTGGCAACATGCAGGAGATCTACGAGTTCCATAACAAGTCAGTGGCCTTACCTGGAGTCTGAGGCTGTGTGCATTTCACAGCAGCAAGTGCAAGTTGAAATTTGAGTCATTACTGATTTCACGGGTTTCCTAGAATTAGTTAAGTGAAGCTTATCAGTCTTCCTCCCAGAAGACTTTGGCAATTAGAAACAGTTTGAATACACACTCATTTTCCACTTGTACTTCTTCTTTACAGAGAAATAAGCTTAGGGAAACTGGGGAAGGTTTCTGTAGGAATCGTAGCTTTTCTCCCACTGAGTCGTCAGCTGTGTCCTCAGGGAGTTCTCGGGGTTCACGGCCCATGGTCTGAGCACAATGCTGGCCACTGGCCACAGGAGGCACATGGTTTTATTTTTAAGATTTAAAGAGAAGCAGCAGAAATACCTTTAGCCAGAGTCCCTGCAGCCTGTGGCTAGTGGTGAGAAGATGTCAGGGCCCAGAGCTGGACCCTTCTCTTCAAAGTTACCACCATGTTGCCAACATGCTGAAGAGCTTCTTCTGATTGAACACTTAGAGCCGTGGCAATGAAACGTCAGTCCTTTCTCAGACGTAATCCTCTCAGTCAGAATTTGTGTCAGGAAATGTTTGAAGTAGAGCTAGTGAGCTGTTTGAAAGTCAAATAACTTACCTGAGTTAAAAGCTACACATTTTGTTCAAGCTTAAACTCTAGAATGTATGGATTTTTCATTTCATTTGATTAGGATGGTCCCATTCAAGTGGCCCCTGAATTTATGGTGTATGAGGTCTAGTATCTGGTGTATCCTCTCGCCAGTGTAATGCTTCATACACTGTACTAATGCTCTTCTCTTTGATGATAAAGCACCGTTGTTCTCTGCAGCATTTTCCTGAAGGAGCTGGAAAAATACGAGCAGTTGCCAGAGGACGTCGGCCATTGCTTTGTTACTTGGGTAATGCAACCTCAGCTCCCTGTTCTGTTGTGATTACCTAGTGACATTGAAGGACGTTAGACAGAGTAGTGTCCAGTTCCGTGAAGTCACCATACTCTGCTGGGTTCTTTTCACTGCATGTACAGAGAAGCCCACTGGGCCTCAAAGACTGCCATTCTGTGATTAGGTGATTGTGCAATGGGGCTGTTATTGGCAGCAGTGATGGTTTGAAATGGAACATCCGGTGTGTCAGGCCTAGCCACGACCCTGCTTCCTTAGCGGGTGAGAGGCTAGCCCCAGCGGATGCACTCCCAGTCTGTAGGGGCAGACGCTGCAGCCTGGGCCGTGCCACTGGAAGCATTTGGCCGAGGGGCACACACAACACTGTGGGAAGAGAGAACAGGTGCCCAGCCAGACTTGCCAGGTCAGGGGAACCTCTGGAGGTGTGGGGCCTGTGGGGGCTCTGAGTCTACACGAATGTGTGGTCTCAGCAGGTGGCTTAAAATAAGTCTTTTCAAAAGAGTGTCTTTGATTTGGCACTTAAATTTCCTTTATCCACGCAACTTCTTTCTGATAGCGTAATTTACTGTACTTGGACTTGTTGGGGTTTGAGTAAGATAATCAACTTTCTTGTTGTCTGTAGGCAGACAAGTTTCAGATGTATGTCACTTACTGCAAAAATAAGCCCGACTCCACGCAGCTGATACTGGAGCACGCAGGCTCCTACTTTGATGTGAGTATAGAAGCCAGAGAGTGTTGGCGTCGTCCATGTTGTATTTTGTAGCTATGTGAGGTGGTGTTGCTCATCACTCTCACCTGATTGACAGCACAATGTTGTAGTTTCATTTCCATCTGTTACGTTTCCACTGGGCTGCTCTCCTGTTCTGTTCTAGAAGTGATTTTTGAAAGACCCTCTCCAGTCCTAGAAGCTGGCTGTCACTGAGGAACTGAGACTTCAGCATGTTTGTGTGTATCTGTGTATGTCATTAATTACTGCTCATGTGCAGGCAGTGATTTTTATCTGTGAGATTGTATGTGCCCAGAAACCTACTGCAATCGAGTCGATTCCAAATCATAGTGACCCCCAGTGGGTTTCCAAGGCACTCTTTATGGAAGTAGACTGCCTCATCTTCCTCCTGTGGAGCAGCTGATGGATTTGAACCACCCACCTTTTGGTTAGCAGCCTAGTGCATTAATCACAGCGCCACCAGAGCTCCTTAATATTGTACAAAGAAACTCACTGCTGTGGAGCCGTACCCAACTCATTAGTGACCCCTCCTTGCGTTTCCAGGGCGAGGTCACTGCGGAAATAGATTACCCAACCTTCCTTCTGAGCAGTGGCTGGTGGGTGTGAACTGTCAGCCTTCTGGTTAGCAGTCAGATGCCTTAGGCACTACTCTACCAGAGTTCCTAATATTGTACGTGTTGTTGTTATGTGCCGTCGAGTCGGACCCGACTTACAGTGACCCCTCCTTGGGTTTCCGAGGCAACATCACTACGGAAGTAGATTGCCCAACCTTCCTTCCAAGGATTGGCTGGTGGGTTTGAACTACCAGCCTTCTGGTTAACAGTCAAGTGCCTTAAGCACTATGCTACCAGAGCTCCCAATATTGTACATAGAAGGTAAAAACTATTGAACTAAGCTTTTCCTCTCTAAAACACAATTAATTTTGATTTGTACAGTCATTTGTTTCTCTTGCTTTAGTCTTATGCTGTTATTGATTGCCTGAAGTGGCCTAACATGAAAGGTCTACCAGCGGTACCATACCCATGAGTACCAGCTGAAAGTTCAAGGCCAGTCCACCTGCAGTGAAGGGGCTGTAGTGCATGTGTGCTCTGAAAGTTGTCACAGGGGGAGCTTATTGTACAAAATGGGGTGCAGCCTTACAACGTCATCTCTAGAATGCCTTTCGGGTTTCTGGAACTTGATCAGATACGTTCCATGCACAAAACACAAGGTCCTTTGAAGGCTTGTTGAGTGTGGTGCAGGAGGCAGTGGGACCGTCGGCGGTGTTCTGTTGCTTGTGGGCAGGTGTGGCGTCTGCTCTCCTCTGATGGTCTGATAAACTGGAGTAGATTCCCGTTGTTCTCTCGGAGGGAAGTGCTACCTGCAGCTGCCGTTCCAGTCTCTCCTTCACACCGTTTGAGTTGACGTTCTTGGATTTCCATGTCACTGCCTTTGTCAGCGCAGTCTGCCCGCATCCCAGCACGGCTTCTCCCCTCCACAGTTTAAGCAGCTAGGTCTTTGACGTCTGAGGAACAGAGCTGTGGCAGCACGTGGAGTTAGACTCATTTGAGACCAAAGCAGCAACAGCCTGTAGCACAGTGAATGCTTGGAATTGGTGCCATTTAAAAATCCTTGGGCCCTAAGGTGGAGCTTTAAGCACATTTGCCTGACTTCAAGATTTCACCAATCTATACCTTTAGTGACATGCAGAGACTCCTGGGAAGAAAGGCCTGGCAACCTATCTTAGAGAAATCAGCCATTGAAAACCTCAGTTCTGCTCTGACACATGGAGTTGCCATGAGTCGGGCTGGGTCAGCAACTGGTGTGTACTGTGCAGTGTTTTGTGTTTCTCAGGAGGCTTTCTCTTCTAACGGCCTCCCTTCCCTGAACGTCTGTGCACCTTCAGTTATACTTTCAGGCAGCATGCTTTCCTGAACATCTGCCTGGTGCTGATATAACTCACTGAGCCCTTCAGGAATGCTTAGCGTACCAAAAACCAAAGCCAACCCACTGCCGTGGAGTCATTTCCAGTTGTGAGTGACACTATAGCACAGAGGAGAACTGCCCCATGGAGTTTCCAAGGCTTTAAATCTTTATGGAAATAGGCTGCATCATCTGTCTCCTGCAGAGTGGCTGGTGGTTTCGAATCACTGACCTTTTTGCTTAGCAGACCGATGCCTTAACCGCTATGCCATCAGAGTTCCTTGCTTTGCTTGCAATGGTGAGTAAAACAGACAAGAACCTGCCTTTACTGTGAGGAATACAAACATGAGGTACACCTACCCACTGCCATCCAGTTGAGTCCGACTCCTAGGGACCCTACAAGACAGAGTAGAACTGCCCCATATGATTTCTAAGGCTATAAATCTTTACAGAAGCACAGTGCATCATCTTTCTCCCATGGAGCAGCTGATGGGTTCAAACCACCAACCTTTCAGCAGCTGAGAATTTTATCCACTGTACCACTAGGCCTCCTTTCAAGTACAACAAACCAAAAAAGCAAACCCATTGCCGTCGTTAATTATGACTCATAACAACCCTATTGAACAGGCCTCATAGGGTTTTCAAGGCTGTAAGTCTTTACGGAAGCAGATTGCCTTGTCTTTCTCCCGCAGAGTGGCTGGTAGGTTCAAACCACTGACCTGTTGGTTAGTACCCTAACACTTCAACCGCAGCACCACCAGAGCTCCACTGTCAAGTACACGGGGCAAATAAATTAAATATTGACAAAAGTGCAAGATAGAAAGCCCCAACCAAGGAGGTTTATTTACCCCGCACTTTTCTGCTCCTCCCACTTAAAGTAAAAATTTAGAAGCAGAAGAGTTTTCTTCAAACAGCCTTCTAGAAAAAGGAAAGGTTATTATTTCAGCAGGACCAAACACTTGTCAGGTATTAGGAAAAAACTGTGATCTTGTAGCCATGTTTGAATAGTATAAGCCAATAATAAGGTTTACGTCAACAGAAATACTGAGACTGGACTTCGGAAATCTCAGAGGTGTGCTTCTGAAAAGGTTGTTAGAAGGACTTGGGTGGCATCAGAGTGTCTTCTGCAGGTGTTGTGGTATCTCCTGTATTCATGCAGCACAGAACTTCTCAGCTCAGCAATAAAAACCCTTAACATAGATGCTTAAGGCACTTGACTGCTAACCAGAAGGCAGGCGGTTCAAACCCACCAGCCACTCCTCGGAAGGAAGGTTGGGCAATCCTACTTCCGTAGTGATACTGCCTCGGAAACCCAAGGAGGGGTCGCTATGAGTCGGGGCCGACTCGATGGCAAACAACAACAACAACAACAACATAGATGGGCCTGCAGACACTGATGAGTGAAGGAAACTAGGAGAATTCCTTTTATATGGCATTCTGGAATATACAGAACTAATGCATGATGATAGGAATCAGAGCAGGGGTTGCCTCTTAGTGAGGGTGGGGCAGTGGGGAGATTGATTGGGAAGGGACATGAGGACTCCGAGTGATGTTGGAAATGCCCTGTGTTTTGGATTGGGGGTCTGTTACAAGTATGTCACCAGCCGTCAGAAACATCTATGAGGTATGATTCTCAATAGGCATATGTCTATCATAGTCATTAACTCACATATCTCACATTTTTAGATAATTATATCTTGATAAGAAACTTTCAGCTGTGCTTACGATTTCAGAAGCTAGAGGAAGAATGGGGGGTCCCCTGGTTGCTCCCTCAGCTGACCTCCTTGAGGGCTCACAGATGCGACCTGGGGGTCTGCTTCTCACAGAGGCCTCAGTGACAGACTCAGAATGCAGAGATATGAGGGGTTGAAAATCCAGTTGGTAATCAGAGTATCAGTGGCTAATCTTGATTTCTTTCCAGCTTTTGTGGAAAAGCAAACACAAACAGGTTAGTGTGAAAACAACAGGCTGGTGGAGAGAGAAAAATGAGACAGCATAGAGGGGCGTTCGTGGATCAGGCATGAATCAGTCAGCGAGGAAGGAGGAAGGCCTGTGTTGGGAAGAGGTGGTGCTGGAAGGGATATTGATATGTGGGATGGGCTGTAGTTAGGGTGCTGACAGGGTAGAAGCTTGTGTAGTGTGCAGAGGAGAGTGTGTGGTTATCTGCTGCTGGGCATGCTGGCCTTGGCCTGTGGCGGCAGCTATCAGGAGGTTGTTGGCCTTGTCTCATCAAGTTAAAACCCATAATGCCAGGTCAGTGCTGCTGTCTTGGGTGTTCAGAGTGACAGAGGGTCTGAGTTTTTCATTTTTATTTTGCTGTTGAGTGTATTAAAAGAATTAATGGTGCTTTCCACTTTATGTTCCCAAGAAAAAATTAAGATATGTCCATTTATCTAAGGGGTAATAAAATGTAAATTTTTAATTTGCACTAACCAACCACCCAGTGATGTTGAAAATCTACGTATTTAATCCAGGAGATACAGCAGCGGCACGGATTGGCCAATTCCATCTCTTCCTATCTTATCAAACCAGTTCAGCGAATTACAAAGTACCAGCTCCTTTTAAAAGTAAGTATGAGGTATCTGGGATGTGGTGTACTGAATTGAGTGTTACTTTGTTCACATTCTCCTGTCTCTGTATATTATCTTGCATTTTCTAAATACCCACCCACTGCCATTGAGCCTATTCCAGCTCATAGTAACCCTCTAGGACAGAGTAGAACTGCCCTGTAGGGTTCCAAGGCAGTCAGTGTTTATGGAAGCAGACTGCCTCATCTTTCTTCTCTGAAGTAGCTGGTAAGTTTGAACCACCAACCTTGTGGTTAGCAGCCAAAGGCCTTAACCACAGTGCCACTGGAGAGTCCTATTTTTGAAGTAACACCCAGCACATTACTCTTGGTCTTTTACCCACTGCCATGCATTGCTTGACTGGTCTCATTGCAGCAGTGCAGTAAGAGGTTCTTCCCTGACTGTGTCCCTGCCATAGTGACTGACCCGTGTCCCTAACACAAATGAGGAGTGAATGAGGAAGCATGAGCTCTAGGTAGCGTAGTACCACCAGTTCCCAGTAAGGCCGCCAACTCTGGGCCAGCCCCTGTGCAGTAGACTGCACACGTGACCCTCACAACAGTGCTGGTCTGCATATGTGGAAACTGGCCATCACTGGGCACTGCCTGTTACCCTTGTGTGGATTTGAACCCAGGTCTGGCTGCTGCCTGGATTTCCCACTGAGGCCACAGAGGCGCTCCAGCAGCTTCTCACGTGTTGCTCCCAGTCATGTGTTGTACATGTCGTCATGCAAACCACAAGCATCTAATGAAAGCTGACTTTACTTTTCCTCAGTTATGAATGATTTTACTTCAAATCAAACTCGTGAAGAGCATACAGTGGCTCTTGACAGTGAACTGGAGAACTCGGAACGTGTGCCAGTAGCCATCGCAGAGCTCAGCCGATGTCATCAGCACACAGTTCTCTTGACGGCAGAAGTCATTTACAAGTTTTGTCGGGAAGTGTTCTCTGCAGAGTGTCCTTGGCTGGTGAGGGTGATTAGCACTGGCATGCCGAGAGCCTCCTTTCATTCCAGGGACAGTACTGTGTGCCTCCTACAAGGTCCCAGTGCGGTCCTGGCCACTGCAGCAGGCGTGCAGTTGAGTTTTTCTAGATGTCTGAGGAATACAGAAGATGGGGTTGTGAATGCCTGAGACCTTCCTGTGCTTTCTTGTTATTCAGAGAAATCTAGAAAGAGAGGCGGCGCCCCTCCTCTGTGCAGGTGCTGCTGGCCTGGGCCGTTAGTGCTGGGGAAGTGCCCCTGCATTGCTGGACCAAAATCCCACAGTGACTTCGTGGCCATCATTGCAGAAACGGCTACAAACAGGAACTCAAAGGTCAAGGGGCTAATTTTTACATATTCAGATTTCCCCTGTCCAGATAGCAGTATTTTGTTTTTAACATGTGGTTTTCTGCTAAGGATCCCCCGTCTCTATTAAACCGGTGCCCTAGTTTGTAAACCTCCTTTATTCCAGCCCCGGGTTCTCCAGGAGAACAGTAAAAAGCTACTGTACGTTCCCCAACAAGGAGGCATTTCTGCCAGAGAATTTCATGTCAGTTAGTGGTGCGTTTTCAGAGTCCTTCTGGCCACACTGCCCAGAACATAATACATCAGTGTCATCTGCTTAGGAGCAGAACTGCTCTCAGGTGATTGAGTTGCTCCAAATTGCCTGGTGTGGAGCTGGTGTCCTGCTGTCTCTGAACAGTAGACGCAAAATAAGCTGTTGTTACCATCAGTAGCTGATGTGGTCCGGAGCCTTCTGGTAGGAGTAGACCGTGGAGATCCCACAATGGAGACTGGCTGTGCCTGCTGCCACCCTTCACACAGTAAAGGCCGTCCTCTGAGGGGGCCTGAGGTGCAGCGACACACTCGCATCTTCCCGGTCGGCAGAGCCTTTCTTTGCATCCTGGGCATGGCGAGCGTGCCTCCGACCGTGGGTGCTCCTGCAGCGTCACTGTGTGGTGGTTTCAGATTAGCTGGGGCATTGAGTTAATGGCACCGAAGAGTTGCAGATCCCACTGTGACCCCGTGGTAAGCACAGCAGTGCTGCTTTGAGTCTGGCACGGCCTTCGGATAAAAGCAGTAGCATAACTACTCCAGGGTAGTTACTCCAAGCAACTACCTTGAAGTAGTTATGCTCCAAGGTACTAATTAAATATTTCTGGTAGTTAACATGCATACGAATTTTATCTGAAAATGTGACTGTGCCTGGCCTACTCTGGTGTGAAGAAGTATCCTGACTTCAGCAGGACAAATGTGTCCATCCACCGAGAAAAGAAGCAGTGATGGGTTTTCCTGAGAACACACACCCAGTTGACCGCAGTCTGTGTTACCGTGAAAGCCCTGGGCTTTCAGACGCTCCTTCGTTTCTGCAGAGCTCTGATCAGCAGAGTTTGCTGGGCCTTTGGCTAGTTCTGGGTGTTGGTCTCCACAGGAGCTGCTCACCTGCTGTGAAGAAGGGAAAGGGGAGATCAAAGACGGCCTCGAGGTGATGCTCAGTGTGCCAAAGCGAGCCAACGACGCCATGCACCTCAGCATGCTGGAGGGTAAGTGGCCTTCCACGGCCCGCGCACACATGCTGTGTGACTTTGCCTGCGCTGTCTGTACATGCACTTCCTGCACCCTGGAGGGTAAGTGGCCTTCCGCGGCCCATGCGCACATGCTGTGTGACTTTGCCCACGCTGTCTGTA